TCAGATCCAGCGAGGAAGAAAAACTCAGGAAACTTATAGCCAGCCCGGCGTTGAACCGAAGCAAGATAATCGAATATGACTTGGCAGTGCTGCACATGAACAAAAGATCACCCTATGCACAGCCAAGTCAACCAAAAAGTGCTCTGCAAGATGAAGGACGAATGCGCGGGCCGCCGATCACCGAGTACGTCGGCTTGAGACCCAAGAAGTATTCCATCAAGTAAGCCACCACCGCCGAAATCCGAAAGTCGAAAGGCGTGATAAAACATGTCGCGAAAAAAACAAACACATCAAGCACGCCAGATTCAAGGAAGCCCTGTTCAAGAATAAAACGTTCAAACACCAAATGAACATGCTGAGAAGCAACCGACACAGGATATACGGACTGAGAATCAACAAGACCTCGCTGTCTCCTATGGACACGAAACGATGGATCGCCATCAACGGAGTCACCACTTACACGTACGGGCACAAATGCGTATAGAATAATTGAACACTTATGCACACATGCGTACATATATCATGGAGAAAATTTGTTACAGCCCGTGCGGGTACTGGAAAGGCACGGACGCCATCCCGAAACTCGCTAAAGCCGCTCGAGTCTCGGAAGAGAAAGCCAAAGACTTGATTTTTAAGCCATCTGGTAAGTCTACCTGCCAGTGCCTCGTTACATCCCGAGAAGAAAATTCGACATGTCAACGCCGAAATCGCGTCCACCAAGCCGACCTCTTGTTTCTCCCTTACGACAGGGTGAGGCGCAAAACTTAACCAAACCTGCAGAGGTTTTCAATTCTTTGAGAGAGTCGTCCTCGGTACCTCGGTAGTCGAGTCGTAAGAGAACCGAAGGTACTGCTTGAACGATGGATGTATGGGTACATGCAGATACGCATCCTTTAGGTCGATTGACGTGAGCCAATCGCCGGGCTGAACAGATGAGATCACCGAGCGCAGTGTCTCCATCTTGAAGGATGGTACTTCGAGCATGCGATTCAACCCCTTGAGGTTGAGAATCGGACGGAACCCGCCGTCTTTCTTCGGGACGAGGAAGTACGTGGAATAAAATCCCGCCTGTTCCTCTCCCGGTGGAATGCGCTCGATTGCGGACTTGTCCAGCAGAGCCTGAACAATATGTCCGCCTGGCGACATGATGGCACCGGAGTGCGCACGTATGCGGTGAAGTCGGGCGGACCTCGCTTCCACAGTGGGAGATGGCCTATGCTGACCGTGGCCAGCACCCAAGCGTTGTTGGTAGCCTTCTCCCATTCCGGCAGGAATAGAGAGAGGCGGCCTCCCACTGGGATATGGGGTAGGAGCGCGTGTGTAGACCCGAGTAGCGGAGCTGACTGGGTGTGACACACGGCTTGAGCGGCAGCCTGATGGGTTAACGGGAGGTCGGGGCAGACCTCCCGCGCCCGCGAAAAGGCTGGGAGCTAGTCGAGGACTGCTCCTTGCCCCTACCCTTGGCGGACCTGTTCCTCCGCCTACCCCTACCAAGCGGCCGAAGCCAGCCGGCAGACTCGGGTGTAGGCTGCACCCCTCGGAAGGTGGAAGGGGCATCGGAGGGGAGACACCCAGCGGGTGCTCCAACAAGGCCTTAGAGTCCTTGAAGGAGGTAGCTGCAGCGGCAGCCTCCCGTATGACCTGCTGGGCCCCTGGAAAGAGGGTCGCTCCCAGACGGAAAGGGAGGGCCAGCAAGGTCTGCTGTGTTGCTGCCGAGTACCTAGACGTCGACAGCCACAGCCTGCGCATCCCCATGACTGCGCACATCACCGTCGACGCAGCAGACCGCAAAGAGTCGCGCGCGAGGTGAGCCTGCACTTCCGAAAGCTGACGGAGCAGCACGACATGCGGCGACACGTCGCCAGCATGCCCCTCCGCCTCCAGGGCCGACCTCTGAACCGAGGAGAGGTAGGCCTCATGGACCACCACCCGCACCTGCTGCATCGCGTTCCGGTAGACCTCCTCGTAGGTCCGGTACGCGTGCCGCAGGGGGGCGCCCGCGAGGGCAAAAGGTGGAGTCAAGGCGCCCTTGCCGAGCAGCCGGAGCTGCTCCGGAGGAAGCCGAGCCTCCCCCCAGGGCGACGGAAGTGAACACACATTCGTCTACAATTGGCACAACGAACAGGGAATCCTCCCCAAGCTGGTAGCGCCGCACGAGATCCGGTAAGTCAAACCGTACTCGGGCACCAGACAAGAGGGGATCGACCACGTCCGAGACCAACGAAGGCAGAATGCGGAGCTGCGTCTGCGAGGGTTGCCTAGGGGCAAACGCCTCGCCTGGCAAGCGGAACTCAGTCGAGTCCACGCAACCAGCAGGCACCGCGGCCTGGGGTAGGCCCTCGGCAATTCTCTGCCGGACCTCCCGCAAGGCCGAAGCAAAACGGAAGCCTCCGTCCTGCTCCTCAACCTCCCCAAGCTCCATTGCCTCGGCGCCCGAGCCCGAGTCAGAGGCTGGGTCTCCTCCGTAAGAGGACCCTAACCCCGACCCGGTGGACTGCCTAGCGCTAGGAACCACAGGAAGGGAAGAACAGACAGACGGCTCCACGTCAGCGCCAGCCGGCGTGCGTGGACCCCGGTCCCGAGACGCTGGAGGCAGGCCAGGCAGAACTGGTGCCTCCGCTCTCAAGGGGCGGGTGTGCGCAAGGACCGGAATACCAGGAATACTCAACGGTCCCTGCGCTAACTCCGAGAGGGGGACTGGGAGCACCTCCCTCTCCGGAGCAGCCGAGGCGTCCGGATCCGAAGCCAGAGGCAACGGATCTACAGACGCCTCAAGGCTGAGGGATCGAGCCGAGCCCGGCGATCCCACCCCCGGACTCTCCGCCCCCCGTCCGGAGTGGGTGAGGAACTCCTGCCGGAGACCTCCAACCGACTCCCGAACGAAGGACTTCACGGAGTCCATATGCTGCTGAAACATAGATTCCATTACCGACATGTCAAAACCACTCGAAGTGGTAGGAGAGGGGGAAGGGCCTCGGGATTTTTTTCCCTTTTTTGACGTTCGTTTTGTTTTAGACGGGGGGACCTGCGTCAGGTCCCCTCCCGCCTCACGCATCTCACGATAAAACAACGTATCGGCGACCACAGACCGAACAGGATGAAAAGGCCTGAAAGCAAAACACGCAAGCATGTAGCTAACAGCGGCCAGCAGCATATAAACACGTAGAAAACATTGAAAAAATACGTGAAGGTTACCACGGAAAGTAATAGTTGGTTTTAATGCGCAATATTACGACCACATGGCAGTTGCTTGACCTGGCCTGCCCTGTTGCAAGTCGATCCTGGATGCGAGTTCATGGGAGCCGTGTCGCACCTGCTGGCCAAGCACGACGTCCATGCAAGACGAGGTATAGCGGGAGCTCACCTTAGCCAAGCGATCGTTGAGAGATTCAATCGCACCCTAGCCGAACGCCTGTTCTCTCACCAATACTCGCAGGATTTAATCGATCCCGAAACAGAAACACAGAATGGGTTGTACGCTTGCCACGATTGGTGGATGTCATCAACAGCGAAGTCACCAGACTCGTGGGCAAAAGACACGTCGAAGCCATCAAAATGAAATCAGTCGAATCATCACACGTGGCGGCGGCACGTCGCAATTAAACAGAGAAAACATTACCGGACCGGGTCAGCGTTAGGTACTTGTACCACCTGGAAGAATACGAGGGAGACAGCAGAAAACGCGCCACCGATCCGATATGGTCCATGAAAACGTACAACGTAGACCTTGTCGACATCAAAGAAGGCGAACCGAACTTGTACTACTTGAAATACGGACCGCCGAGAGCATTCGTCAGAGAGGAGTTGATGATCGTACCTCACGACACAGTCCCTTACACATCCCCAACCGTGTGATGATAGTTTCTCGTGATGATTTTTTATCAGTCTTGCAAGCCTATTTTTCTGCTTAATGTAGCCAGCCAGCCAGCCACCCGTACACCAATCCAAGAGAGACACACGCACACGCACTGCGACTCGTCCGCCCACAGCGCTCGGAGGAGAAACTACCCCCAAGGCGACCCGAGCCTTTTTCCCTACCGACCCCATGCTCACTTAAAAGCCAATATTTCAGAAACTATTCGACCGATTTTCATCAAATTTTGCATGCACCTCAGCAACATTGTACACAATGGGGTTACGGGATTAGGGACTTCCCAAGTGCTCAATTTAAAAATTGAGCCATTGGGGGGGTACCTGGTCCCGTAGCCCCATTGTATATACTACTCCTCGTCATCTCAGTCAATTAATAACCCTACACATTACAGAAGCAACACCTGATGACGTCACAAGAGGTTGATATAAAACATAAACAGCTATCTATTGTGAAGACCATATCACCCCAAGGTGTGTAAGTATTGATGTCCTGCCGGTGTATGACCTGTATATGTATCGATGTACTGTTGATGCGTCGATGTACTGTTGATGTATGACATGTATATGCATCGATGTACTGTCGATGCATGACATGTATATGCATCGATGTGCTGTCGATGCATGACATGTATATGTATCGATGTGCTGTCGATGTATGACATGTATATGTATCGATGTACTGTCGACGCATGACATGTATATGCATCGATGTACTGTCGATGTATGACATGTATATGTATCGATGTACTGTCGATGCGTCGATGTACTGTCGATGTATGACATGTATATGCATCGATGTACTGTCGATGTATGACATGTATATGCATCGATGTACTGTCGATGTATGACATGTATATGTATCGATGTACTGTCGATGTATGACATGTATATGTATCGATGTACTGTCGACGTATGACATGTATATGTATCGATGTACTGTCGATGTATGACATGTATATGCATCGATGTACTGTCGATGTATGACAAGTATATGTATCAATGTCCTGCCGATGTATGTCATGGATATGAATTGATGTCCTTCCAACGTATGACAAGTATATGTATCGATGTCCTGTGGAAGTATATGTATCAATTCCTTTGAGTTGCCATACCAACAGATTACCTACCCATTTAAACAAGAAAGTCGCAGTGCTTTGTCTGGACCCAGCCCCTTGGTCTGTCGCCAGGATCTCCCCGGACACTGTGTCGCCGTACATGCTGGAAATGTCTGCGTCGATCAAGACGTCCCCGTCAGGTAGCACCTTCACAACACCCACCGGATCTGACACCTTCAGACTGTACTGCACCTTGCCGTTCGTCGTCGTTGTGATGTCCTTGTCAGTAGCACTTACCTTGCCGATAGACGTCCCTGGCAACACAGAGGAGAATGAGGGAACAACGAGGGAAGAAGCATAGGTAAAACCTTCCCGATAGTTTCATGATATAAAGTGACGACCAAATTTACCATTTTAAAAGGAAATTGCCAAATATTAGAAACTCAAGTCGAAACTCAACTAATTCGCAAACCTTATCGTTCAACCCAACACAGCGCTCTGTAAGGAATAGTGATATGCCCACGGCAACATTGTACTTGTTGTTTACGGATTGAAATGTAACATGCATCAGAAAGAGGTGGTCATGGCAGTCAGGCTTGTGAAGCCCATGATCAGCTCAGGTCACCTCACCTCACACCCCACTGTCATGATGAGCCTCCAGCCCCCGTCCGCCCGAATTGATTGGCATATACAAATGAATAGGCCAGAACCGGGGGTGGTTGGATCTGATATCAGACATGATCCTTCTGATCAGGCGGTCAAGACTCTGGATGTCTTGTTCTGTCTAATGAACTACTCAAAAATAATACGAAACGACTGGCACATCAAAAGTGTTGGTGGTTTTGACCGTGTTTCGAGCATTTAGCTCTGAGCTCCAGATTTTCTTTAAACTAGTTTTTTTTTACTCGGCCCGAAGTTATGCTGGCACAGTCAGGCTGGTAAGGCTCATCATCAGCTCAGGGCTCTTGCCCCCTCTACACGCAGCCCAGTCAGCGAATGGGACTTCTCCCAGGAACGCTGCCTAGTGGAACCCACCAAGAACTTTCCGGACAATATGTACACTCTCAAACGCTGCAGCCTTCTGCATTACCCAGAGTGTCAGAAGGGCTGTACTCCCGGTGGAGAACCCGGGCACTCTCCTGATCTGTGCCAAGAGATCAGGAGATCTCAAACCAAGGGCACCGAGAACAATGGGGAGCCTGACGACAGTGTACTGGGGATGTACGCGAGACATTTCAAAGGCGAGGTCCGCATATTCAGCTTCTCCTGGACTTGCTGATCACGTTGCTTTATTGTTATTGTTACTTAGTAGTACCTACGTAGTCTAAAACATGGTCCGCCAAGGCACCCGACACTACTCGCCAGGGGATATCAGTGTTACGGGCGGCATGTGAAACACACACAGAGACAAAACGCCGTACAAATGCTCTAAATGCCCAGGGTATAGTTGATTAGTTGCTCGTGTGATGGTGTAACTACTGTACAGTGTTACAGACAGACCGGGCACACATCAGACTGGCACAAGGGACATCCAAGGTCACTAAAGCCCAATGAAGACCAGTACATTGCATCTTCGGAATCGATCCCTGACAGTGTCATTGATTTATATTTAGTCGACAGACAGCAGTGGCGGACAAAGGACAGTTATGAGACTAAGATGGGCCCAGACTTAAGTAAGCGACGTTACCGGCAGAGAGCCCTTGTCATTCTCTTGCAACTACAGCCACGTGTTCTTTCTCAGCATGACAACGCCAGCCCCCATACAGCCTGTGCTAACTGTGCTGAGATTCCTTGTATCCACACCCTCGCGCCCTAGACATGTCCCCAGCAGACACTGAATATCATGGATAGGCATTGAAAGCTTGTTTTGCTACCCCACCACAATGTCCCCCATTGTAGGTGAGATACCGATATATATTCTGAATACTGTTCACATTTCCCTCTCTCATTCTCTTACTACTATGTACACGTGTGATACTGACGAGTTGGAAGCTCACCGACTGCCATGTCGGTCGCCACCAGGAAGCTGTACGTGGATGTCACAAACTCGGGGCTGTTGTCGTTTAGGTCGTTGCACTGAATGGTGACGGCACACGTCCCAGAGGCACCGAAGTTGTCGGTAACGGTAATGTCGACGGTCACGGGGTTTGGAATGGGCGTACTTGATTCGCAGTCAAGGGCGACGTTTGGCTTTATTTGCATCGGACCTTCTACCTGAAATACGCTGAACAATGGGCTGGAGAGAGCCAGAGTGTGAGTCTGTCCGCTGGCGTCGTTGATACCGAACGCACTGACCGAGATTGGGGTCATCTGTGAAGAATACATACATAGATGCATGAATTATATACATGGGAAATGGGATGGGGGCTGGTGTGTCAACGATGGTGGAGCAAGGGAGTGGGAGGGGGGCTTGGTGTGTGAACGATGGTGGAGCAAGGGAGTGGGAGGGGGCTTGGTGTGTGAACGATGGTGGAGCAAGGGAGTGGGAGGGGAGCTTGGTGTGTGAACGATGGTGGAGCAAGGGAGTGGGAGGGGAGCTTGGTGTGTGAACGATGGTGGAGCAAGGGAGTGGGAGGGGGCTTGGTGTGGATGGTGGAGCAAGGGAGTGGGAGGGGGCTTGGTGTGTGAACGATGGTGGATCAAGGGAGTGGGAGGGGGGCTTGGTGTGTGAACGATGGTGGAGCAAGGGGTGGGAGGGGGCTTGGTGTGTGAACGATGGTGGAGCAAGGGAGTGGGAGGGGAGCTTGGTGTGTGAACGATGGTGGAGCAAGGGAGTGGGAGGGGAGCTTGGTGTGTGAACGATGGTGGAGCAAGGGAGCGGGAGGGGCTTGGTTTGTGAACGAGGGTGGAGCAAGGGAGTGGGAGGGGAGTTTGGTGGTGTGAACAATGGTGGAGCAAGGGAGTGGGAGGGGAGCTTGGTGTGTGAACGATGGTGAAGCAAGGGAGTGGGAGGGAGCTTGGTGTGTGAACGATGGTGGAGCAAGGGAGAGGGAGGGGAGCTTGGTGTGTGAACGATGGTGGAGCAAGGGAGTGGGAGGGGGGCTTGGTGTGTGAACGATGGTGGAGCAAGGGAGTAGGAATATTTCAGTTATTCACAAACTGTCAGCTTGATATTGGAGAAATGTCCAAAGTGATGAATGTGCATGGTGCTGGGATTCGAACTAATGATCATAGTTTTCTTGTGCGACTAAGAGACGCAACCCTGCACAGCGAATTGCCCCGCCTACAATGACGGGGCCAGTGTGTGCCGTCATTACAATGAATAGCTAGAAGCGCTAATAATTTGTTTTGCTTATTGGCTAAATATCCCAACATTTACAATATATGAAATAATTTTCAAAGCAGCAATCAAAGATTTGCATTATATTGATTAAGTTCAAGAAAAGCAGCCCCGATTTCCATTACGAATACTATTTCATTTTAAAACCCATTGGCGGTAACAAAAGACCACTGAAGTCTGAAATAGAGTATAACTTTTCTTGCGCATGCGTAGTCAAATTGATTTTCTACGCATGCGCACCGGTAATCGAAAAGGCACTCTCCTACCCAGAGTTCCATGCGACCAGCCAGCATATTAAGTCATCTCTGCGCCGGAATGTGTCGAAAAGTGCGACAACGCGACAATGCGACAACACGACATATTTTCACCTTGAAAAATGTCGCTATGTCGCATTGTCGCCCTTTGGATGAATAATAATATTCAAAACGCGACAATGCTACAGAGCGACAATGGGATAAATGGCCGGAATGTTGCGTTGTCGTATTGTCGCATTGTCGCCCTTTGGTTAATTTGGCCTCTTTTTGCTTGTTTTTGAGAGGGCGACAACGCTACAATGCGACAACGCAACAATGCCCCTTCTAGGATTCAATAATATACGTGCATATATAGAATTATTACCGTGTTTTCGTCTGCATTAACAATGTAGCTATTACTGGTACATGATGGGGGGTCGTTGGCGTCGATGATGTTGACGGTGATGTCGTAGCTGGTGCGTTTGTAGCCGTCATTGAGCAGAACCGTCAGGGTATATGTCGAGACAGTAGCGAAGTCGAATGGTCCAACAACCTGAATCTGGTTGCCTTAAACACAAGTATAACACATCGATATAATAAGTAACCCAAGCACTTCACTTAAAATACAAAACTGCAGAATACAACAGACAGATCAAGTGGACAAACCACCTGACTCTGAATCATTCCTGACATTTCCTTACGAAGATTGTGTTCAGACGCAAAGTAGATAGCTAACATTCATATGGAACTGCGTCACCGAAACCTGTGTAAATATACACCCGACGAATTCTTTCCATATCCGAATATGAGACTTAACGCGGTTCGAGAATAACAGGTCTGGGTTGTTAACTTACATACGGCACGGGTGCAATGCCAAGAAAAACTAGTGAACCGAACCCACCCACACCCACACACCCCTACCCCTACCCCTACCCCTACCCCTACCCCTACCCCAATTTCCATCCCCACCCCTACCCCTACCCCTACTCCAGTTTCCATCCCCACCCCTACCCCTACCCCACCCCAGTTTCCATCCCCACCCCTACCCCACCCCAGTTTCCATCCCCACCCCTACCCAGCCCCAATTTCCATCCCCACCCCTACCCAGCCACAGGTGATGTCCTTGGTCAGGATGACCTTGGCGTTACTTCCCTTACTTTCAATCTTAAACTTGCTTGCACCGGAAGAGGGGCTGACGCTGAGAGACATGCTGAGGCTATCGAACAAGGTGGTGTCCTTGACGTCGAAGGTGTGGATCACCCCGCTTGTAGCATCTTCCTGTACGTTCCTGGTGGTAGGAATCGTGTTGTCCACCGGCTTCGTGTTCAGCTCTACGTTAAGAGTAAATAATTTAGCATGTGAATGTTGTAGGTGGAGTTGGCGGTAAAAAGAGGAATGGGCACTCCACGGTGGGTTCCCAAATCTATGAGGAGTGTGGGTTTTAAATAGGTCGTTATGGTTAGAAAGAACGGGTAAATGGGAGAGCGTCAGACAGATGGGACAGTGTCGGTTTCCACCTTGAAACACGAAAAATTTAATCTAAAACCAACAAAAAACAGAACTGTTATGGCAACGGTTGATGCAGATCACTGCAAAGGAGTGAGTGAGTGAGTATGGTTTTACGCCTCTTTTTCAGCACTATTCAAGCAATATCGAGGCGGGGGACATCCCAAATGGGCTTCAAACGCTTTAACCATTACTCAACCCCACTGCCCCCACTGCAAAGGAATTACAGTGACAGTGTCAAATTGAGTGACAGTTCTAACACAAGGCAATATGGAATAGAGGAAGAGATTGCAGCAACAGGGACAGTGATGAGATGGATCTAGCAACAGTCGACAAGCTTCCGGAACCCAGGGTGAACAGTGGTCTTCTCGCAACTACTGATCCCTATGTAATGTGATAAAGGCAAGTACCTGCCCCTTTATACATTGTATGGATACCCGTTGGAAGTATCATGCCGGGTTAATTCAGATGTTCTCTAACTACCAGATTAGTCTTCCATACAGTCTCAATACATTATACAGCTCTGTCCTCAACGGATCGTAACACAAACGGTACAATACAATCATTGATAAACAATGAATTACACCATGAGACATATGAAGGAATGGTAACACGTACTATCCAGTGTAATCCTGACTTGGAACATTGTGGTGTGACTCGCCGTGTCGCTCACACTGGCACTGATCACAGCTGATATGGCGTCCAACTCAGCCATATTTTTAGTGGTACTTATTTGTCCACCAACTGAAACAAAGTTAGTCAACAATTTAAATAAATAAAACTGTGACATGTAGTATATAACTCAAAGAAAGTACATACATTTAATGCCAATATAGCTGAAGTTCGTCCAGTATTGAATTTGAATATATGAATGTCTACAGGCTACTCACAATACCTGGAACCCTTTCCACTGGCCACATCAGTGGGGACCCCTGTCTACAGGCTACTATATGGAACCCCCCTTTGGCCAACTATACATCAGTGGGGACCCCTGTCTACAGGCTACTCACAATCCACCTGGAACCCTTTCCCTGGCCAACTATACATCAGTGGGGACCCCTGTCTACAGTCTACTCACAATCCACCTGGAACCCTTTCCCTGGCCAACTACATAGACGTGGGGACCTTTGTCTACAGTCTACTCACAATCTGGAACCCTTTCCCACAATCCACCTGGAACCAGTCTACTCACAATCCACCTGGAACCCTTTCCCTGGCCAACTATACATCAGTGGGGACCTTTGTCTACAGTCTACTCACAATCCACCTGGAACCTTTTCCCTGGCCAACTACACATCAGTGGGGACCATGTACAGAGCAACTTTAATTAAATATGTTATGTTATATTGTAAATATGAAATATCAGCAAACACGTAGATAAATGAAGCTCCTGAAACCATTTGTGAAAGATCCTGCACTTGATGTTATGCGGTCTTTTATAAAATGCATTATTTTATTTGAAATTTATTTACTACTCACCGTCCATGTTGAAGCCGTCCGCTGGCATACTGACATTAAAGGTGAGCAGATCCCCGTCATTGTCCGTGGCATTCACAGTCCCTATAATCTGACCAATGGTTGTAGCAACCGGTACCATTATCGTCACTGTAACATACAATATTTTATCAAATAATTGCCAGACATTTCCAATGCCCAACAGAAACGTTACCTCTACAAGGAGTTTAACTCAACAACGACGAAGTTAATTCTACAACACAAAGTTAACCCACCATCAAGGTTTCAACAAGGGTAACCTGAGGAGGTTTCTCAACAACGAAGTTAATTCAGCTGAACAACAAGGGCAATTTACTGCAAGAATAATTCAGCAAAAGGTCATCTCAGCGACAAGGTTAACCCAGTAACAAAGTTAACTCAGCAACAAGGTTAACTCGGCAAACGGTAAAATTAGGTACAAGGTTAACTCAATATCAAGGTTAACTTAGCAACAAGATTAACACGACAAACGGTCAAATCAGTAACAAGGTTACCTCAGCAACATGGATAACTCAGCAACAAGGTTAACTCGGCAAACGGTCAACTCAGTAACAAGGTTAACTCTGTAACAAGGTTAACTCAGCAACAAGGTTAACTCGGCAAACGGTCAACTCAGCAACAAGGTTAACTCGGCAAACGGTCAACTCAGCTCTGACAAGGTTAACTCGGCAAACGGTCAACTCAGCGACAAGGTTAACTCGGCAACACGGACAACTCAGCAACAAGGTTAACTCGGCAAACGGTCAACTCAGCGACAAGGTTAACTCGGCAAACGGTCAACTCAGTAACAAGGTTAACTCAGCAACAAGGTTGACTTAGCAACAAGATTAAAGATTAACTCGGCAAGCAAGGTTAACTCAGTAGCAAGGTTAACTCGGCAGCAAGGTTAACTCAGCGACAAGGCAACTCTGTAGCAAGGTTACCTCAGCGACAAGGTTAACTCAGCAACAATGTTAACTCGGCAAACGGTCAACTCTGTAACAAGGTTAACTCAGCAACAAGATCAACTCGGCAAACGGTCAACTCAGCGATGAGGTTAACTCTGTATCAAGGTTAACTCAGTAACTAGGTTAACTCAGCAACGAGGTTAACTCAGCAAACGGTCAAATCAGTAACAAGGTTACCTCAGTAACAAGGTTACCTCAGTAACAAGGTTCCCTCTGTGACATGGATAACTCAGCAACAAGGTTAACTCGGCAAACGGTCAACTCAGCGACAAGGTTAACTCTGTAACAAGGTTAACTTAGCAAACGGTCAACTCAGTAAGAAGGTTAACTCAGTAACAAGGTTCCCTCTGTGACAAGGTTAACTCAGCAAGAAGGTTAACTTGGCAAACGGTCATCTCAGTAACAAGGTTAACTCAGCAAAAAGGTTAACTCGGCAAACGAACAACTCAGCAACAAGGTTAACTCGACAAACGGTCAACTCAGCGACAAGATTAACTCGGCAAACGGTCAACTCAGCGACAATGTTAACGCGGCAGGCAACAGTAACAAGGTCAACTCACAAAGGTCAACTCAGTAACAAGGTTAACTCAGCAACAAGGTTAACTCAGTAACAAGGTTAACTCTGTAACAAGGTTAACTCTGTAACAAGGTTAACTCAGTAACAAGGTTAACTCTGTAACAAGGTTAACTCGGCAAACGAACAACTCTGTAACAAGGTTAACTCGACAAACGGTCATCTCAGTAACAAGGTTAACTCTGTAACAAGGTTAACTCGGCAAACGGTCAACTCGGCAGTAACAAGGTTAACTCAGCAGCAAGGTTAACTCGGCAAAAGGTCAACTCGGTAACAAGGTCAACTCAGCAGCAAGGTCAACTCAGCAGCAAGGTCAACTCAGCAGCAAGGTCAACTCAGCAGCAAGGTCAACTCAGCAGCAAGGTCAACTCAGCAGCAAGGTCAACTCAGCAACAAGGTCAACTCAGCAGCAAGGTCAACTCAGCAGCAAGGTCAACTCAGCAGCAAGGTCAACTCAGCAGCAAGGTCAACTCAGCAGCAAGGTCAACTCAGCAGCAAGGTCAACTCAGCAGCAAGGTCAACTCAGCAGCAAGGTCAACTCAGCAGCAAGGTCAACTCAGCAGCAAGGTCAACTCAGCAGCAAGGTCAACTCAGCAGCAAGGTCAACTCAGCAGCAAGGTCAACTCAGCAGCAAGGTCAACTCAGCAGCAAGGTCAACTCAGCAGCAAAGGTCAACTCAGCAGCAAGGTCAACTCAGCAGCAAGGTCAACCCAGCAGCAAGGTCAGCAGCAGCAAGGTCAACTCGGCAGCAAGGTCAACTCAGCAGCAAGGTCAACTCAGCAGCAAGGTCAACTCAGCAGCAAGGTCAACTCAGCAGCAAGGTCAACTCAGCAGCAAGGTCAACTCAGCAGCAAGGTCAACTCAGCAGCAAGGTCAACTCAGCAGCAAGGTCAACTCAGCAGCAAAGGTCAACTCAGCAGCAAGGTCAACTCAGCAGCAAGGTCAACTCAGCAGCAAGGTCAACTCAGCAGCAAGGTCAACTCAGCAGCAAGGTCAACTCAGCAGCAAGGTCAACTCAGCAGCAAGGTGAGCAGCAGCAAGGTCAACTGCAGCAGGCAGCAAGGTCAACTCAGCAGCAAGGTCAACTCTGCAGCAGCAAGGTCAACTCAGCAGCAAGGTCAACTCAGCAGCAAGGTCAACTCAGCAGCAAGGTCAACTCAGCAGCAAGGTCAACTCAGCAGCAAGGTCAACTCAGCAGCAAGGTCAACAGCAGCAGCAAGGTCAACTCAGCAGCAAGGTCAACTCAGCAGCAAGGTCAACTCAGCAGCAAGGTCACCCTGCAGCAAGGTCAACTCAGCAGCAAGGTCAAGCAGCAGCAGCAAGGTCAACTCAGCAGCAAGGTCAACTCAGCAGCAAGGTCAACTCAGCAGCAAGGTCAACTCAGCAGCAAGGTCAACTCAGCAGCAAGGTCAACTCAGCAGCAAGGTCAACTCAGCAGCAAGGTCAACTCAGCAGCAAGGTCAACTCAGCAGCAGGTTTAACTCAGCAGCAAGTTTAACTCAGCGACAAGGTTAACATAGTAACGAAGTTAAATCAACAGCAAGGTTAACTCAGCAAACGGTCATCTCAGCGACAAGGTTAACTCGGCGAAAGTTTAGCATCAGATGAACTTAACTTATCAAGTTCACCTCAACAAAAACCGTGTGAGTGAGTGAGTTTTACGCCGCTTTTGGCAATATTCCAGCAATATCACGATAGGGGACACCAGAAATGGACTTCACACATTGTACACATTTGGGGAATCGAACCCTGGTCTTGGGCGTGACGATCGAACGCTTTAACCTCTAGGCTACCCCACTGCCCCTCAACAAAACGGTTGACCCTACAACCAGTTTAAGTCAACAAGTAGGTTGACCCAACAAGTAGGTTGACCCAACAAGTAGGTTGACCCAACAAGTAGGTTGACCCAACAATGAGGTTGACCCAACAATGAGGTTAACCCAACAAGTAGGTTGACCCAACAAGTAGGTTGACCCAACAAGTAGGTTAACCCAACAAGTAGGTTAACCCAACAAGTAGGTTAACCCAACAATGAGGTTAACCTAACCCAACAATGAGGTTAACCTAACCCAACAATGAGGTTAACCCAACAAGTAGGTTAAAACAAGTTGGTTAAAACAAGTAGGTTAACCCAACAATGAGGTTAACCCAACAATGAGGTTAACCCAACAATGAGGTTAACCCAACAAGTAGGTTAACCGAACAAGTAGGTTAACCCAACAAGGTTAACAGAGCAACATGGTAAACGCAAAAACAGCAAGGTCGAGTCAATATCAAGGTCAAGAAATCATATACGAGACATGAGGTGTTATAAATTCGCAAAGGTGCTTGGTGACTGTACGAGTGGAACTTTATGTCGTGAACAACATTCCAATGTGAAGGCCACCTATTTACCTAGTGTCCCGGGGTGCACAACTGGGGGTTGGTTGTTGAGGACGAACACCTTGACGGAGAAGGAGTCTGAGTTTGGTCCAGGGATAACGCAAGAGCCGTTTATGGTGTACTCGGGAGCCAATATCTGTGGAGGACCAACCGAGGGTTCGAAGTAAACCCAGAAGTCTGTAATGAAAATACACTTCATGTTTTCAAACGTATGTAGTTTAGAATGTGGATTTTTTATGTACTCATTAAGTGATTACAAAGACGTTAGATATTGATAACGTGGGTACACTACTTGGAGGCTTCCCATAACGTTAGGGTTAATAACATGGACACAGATGATGTAAAGCCTGGATGCTTCGTATAATGTGAGGTTAATAACATGGACACAGCTGATGTAAAGCCTTGATGCTTCGTATAATGTAAGGTTGATACCATGGCCACAGCTGATGTAAAGCCTGGATGCTTCGTATAATGTGAGGTTAATAACATGGACACAGCTGATGTAAAGCCTGGATGCTTCGTATAATGTGAGGTTAATAACATGGACACAGCTGATGTAAAGCCTGATGCTTCGTATAATGTAAGGTTGATACCATGGCCACAGCTGATGTAAAGCCTGGATGCTTCGTATAATGTGAGGTTAATAACATGGACACAGATGATGTAAAGCCTGGATGCTTCGTATAATGTAAGGTTAATAACATGGACACAGCTGCTGTAAAGCCTTGATGCTTCGCATAATGTGAGGTTAGTAAGGTGGTTTGGTTGTCGGGCATCACGGACACACAGTTCGAATACCGAAAAGCGCCTTTTGAATTTTCATCCTGTGTGACATAAGGTGTAAGAAGACATCATGTTTTTACATACTGTCATTGAAATCAATAACCTGATATTATGAATTGTACATAACAATAGTTACTGCGTGTTGTAAGTTGTACATGAAGTAATAGTAATCAATAACCTGATATTATGAATTGTTCATAATAATAGTTACTGCGTGTTGTAAGTTATACATGAAGTAATAGTAATCAATAACCTGATATTATGAATTGTACATAACAATAGTTACTGCGTGTTGTAAGTTATACATGAAGTAGTAGTAATCAATAACCTGATATTATGAATTGTACATAACAATAGTTACTGCGTGTTGTAAGTTATACATGAAGTAATAGTAATCAATAACCTGATATTATGAATTGTACATAATAGTTACTGCGTGTTGTAAGTTATACATGAAGTAATAGTAATCAATAACCTGATATTAATGAATTGTACATAACAATAGTTACTGCGTGTTGTAAGTTATACATGAAGTAGTAGTAATCATGAAGTAGTAGTAATAACCTGATATTATGAATTGTACATAACAATAGTTACTGCGTGTTGTAAGTTATACATGAAGTAATAGTAATCAATAACCTGATATTATGAATTGTTCATAATAGTTACTGCGTGTTGTAAGTTATACATGAAGTAATAGTAATCAATAACCTGATATTATGAATTGTTCATAACAATAGTTACTGCGTGTTATACATGAAGTAATCGTCCACCTACTGATGTCTGGGGCGATCTTCTTGATGCTGAAGTTTGGTTCTGATGTTGTTTCTGTACACAAGTAACTTGTCTCGTTGGTGTCCACCTTGATCTCGTACAGTTTCTGTTCAAGCTGGGTGTTGCTGCGTGCGATCTGTGTTTGTCCAAACTTCTCAGTCACTGTGATCTGCAGTAGAGGTACCACAGTTGGTTTAGGGGCTTTACCTCATTTACAGTCGTGCTTTTGCTGAGGACATCTGCACGTAACACCCTGTACTCATAAATACCACTCTGGACACCAGCCCCCCTACCTGTACCCACATCAACCCCTACCTGTACCCCACCACCCCCTACCTGTACCCACACCAACCCCCACCTGTACCACACACTACCTGTACCCACACTACCCCTACCTGTATCCTCATCAACCCCCCCACCTGTGCCCACATCAATACCTACCTGTATTCACACGGCCCCTACCTGTACCCACGCTACCTCCTACCTGTACCCATACTCACCCCATACCTGTACCCACACTACTCCCTACCTGCACCCACACACTACCCCCTACCTGTATCCACACTATCCCCCTAAATGTACTGACATCAACCCCTACCTGTACCCACATCAGCCCATACCTGTACCCACACTCACCCCATACCTGTACCGACATCAACCCCCTACCTGTACCCACACTACCCCCTACCTGTACCCACATCAGCCCATACCTGTACCCACACTACCCCCTACCTGTACTCGACATCAACCCCTACCTGTACCCACACTACCCCCTACCTGTACCCACACATCAACCCCCTACCTGACACTATCCCCTAAATGTACCCACACTACCCCCTACCTGTACCCCACACTATCCCTCTACCTGTACCCACATCAACCCCTACCTGTACCCACATCAGCCCCTACTTGTACCCACACTACCCCCCTAAATGTGCCCACACTACCCCCTACCTGTACCCACATCAACCCCCTACCTGTACCCACACATCAGCCCCTACCTGTACCCACACCGCCCCCTACCTGTACCCACACACTTCCCCCTACCTGTACCCACATCAACCCCCTACCTGTACCCACATCAACCCCTACCTGTACCTATACTACCCCCTACTGTACCCACACTATCCCCTACCTGAACCCACATCAACCCCTACCTGTATCCACACCAACCCCCACCTTTATACTTACATATGGTTGGCTGACACCTATGTATCCAAGCAGGAGCACCAGAAGCGATAAGTGATGCCCTTCCCCCGCCATCACGGATACGTTTTTGGAAAAACTATGCCAGTAAACCTTCAGGAATCTCGACAAACCCTGTGACTTGGCAGCTCGTCGCGTTTAAAACACAACTGACCGATCCACAGATTACCGGGGATTTGAATGACGAGTCATGTAACTACGTATATTACTGTGATAAACGATCTGTATTGATAAGTACAAACCACCTTTGACATGTCGTATATTGCAAACCTTGAATCTCACTGACAAAGTCTACCTTTGTGCAGCAAAGCTCTGTATAGCAGTGTTTTGTATACGGTGTGTGTTATGCCAGAGGAACACTGTACGTCACCTGCATACCAATACCTGTGCTACCTTTGCTTACGGCTTCACCAGATTAAAGTTCCCATTCATCCCCCTGAGAGAAGACTGCTTAGTCTCTTTATTACTGCACTTTCTTTCATCAAACAATGCGACATGTTTGTCCACATAGATCGGTCGAGTAACCATATTTCACAAACAACTGTCATTAACAAAATTCTCTTTTATTGATCATGAAAGGAATATTAAATCCCTTTACTCATGACAGCAATAAGCATTGAAACCTGTGTCTTGAAAACCGTCAGAGAATAACTTAACGACTCCAGTGAATAGGTGAATGAGTGACGGTGACCAGGGTGTAGGTCTTTCTGGCAATAACTAGTGCTCTCGGGACAGTCTCGAGGTGATGGTTCAGTTGGAAATGAAGGAACATGCCATGCTTTAACACACTGATAAAGGCAGAGTTCAACACACGTATAACTCCGGTAGCGGACAGAACAGGACGGTGACACGCTCTCAGTTGAAGTCTTCACTGTGTCAGGTAGTCTCGCCTTGTGTCGGTAGTAACATTGGTGAAATACATACAGCAACAACCGGATACAGTTAACACACATAACACAGGTAACCAGATACACACGTAACTTACATAACACAGGTAACCAGATACACAGTTAAAACGCATAACACAGGTAACCAGATACACAGTTAACACAAATAACACACATAACACAGGTAACCAGATACACAGTTAAAACAAATAACACAGGTAACCAGACACAGGTTAACACACAATAACTTAACAGACACACATAACACACAGGTAACAGTACACAGTTAACACACATAACACAGGTAACATTAGACATTAGTTAACACACATAACACGTTAACCAGTACATAACTAGTTAACACTGTGTAACACACAGGTAACCAGACACACAGTTAATACACATAACACAGGTAAGGTAACCAGGATACATTGTATAAGTTAACAATCTAACACAGGTAACCAGATACACATTAGGTGTTAACTGTGTATCACACATTACCTGTGTTATTTAACCAGATTAAGTTAGTGTATAACACAGGTAACCTGATTATGGGTGTTAACACAAATAACACAGGTAACCAGACCCACGGTTAACACACATAACACATATAGACACATAACACACATAACACAGGTAACCAGATACACAGTTAACACACATAACACAGGTAACCAGATACACAGTTAACACACATAACACAGGTAACCAGATACACAGTTAACACACATAACACAGGTAACCAGACACAGTTAACACACATAACACAGGTAACCAGATACACAGTTAACACACATAACACAGGTAACCAGATACACAGTTAACACACATAACACAGGTAAACACAGTTAAAGCAAATAACACAGGATACACAGTTAACACAAATAACACAGGTAACCAGATACACAGTTAACACACATAACACACCAGATAACACATAACACAGTAATACACAGTTAACACACATAACACAGGTAACCAGACACAGTTAACACACATAACACAGGTAACCAGATACACAGTTAACACACAACACAGGTAACCAGATACACAGTTAACACACATAACACAGGTAACCAGATACACAGTTAACACACATAACACAGGTAACCAGATACACAGTTAACACACATAACACAGGTAACCAGATACACAGTTAAAAACACATACACAGGTAACCAGATACACAGTTAACACACATAACACAGGTAACCAGATACACAGTTAACACAGGTAACAGTTAGCACACATAACACAGGTAACCAGATACACAGTTAACACACATAACACAGGTAACCAGATACACAGAAACATAATGACACACAGGTAACATATTTAACATAACACATGTAACCAGATACACAGTGGTATAACAACACATAACACAGGTAACCAGATACACAGTTAACACACATAACACAGGTAAACCAGATACACAGTTAACACAATAACACAGGTAACCAGATACACAGTTAACACAGATAACACAGGTAACACAGATACACAGTTAACAACAACACACATACACAACACAGGTAACACATCAATACACAGCATAGCACACATAACACAGGTAACCAGAAACACGGTTGATAAGAAATAACACAGGTAACCAGACACAGGTAAAAACAAGTAAACCATACACAGTTGGTACAAGACAACACACATAACACAGGTAACCAGATACACAGTTAACACACAGGTGGTATACATAACACAGGTAACCAGATACACAGTTAACACACATAACACACACAAACACATAACACAGGTGGATACATAGTTAACACACATAACACAGGTAACCAAACACACAACAAACACATAACACAGGTAACCAGACAACACAGTTAACACACATAACACACATAACACAGGTAACCAGGTGATACACAGTTAACACACATGACACAGGTAACCAATCAAACAGTTAACACACATAACACAGGGAACCAGATACACTTTCATAACACACATAACACAGGTAACCAGATACACATTTAACACACATTAACACAGGTAACCAGATTACACAGGTAACCACATATAACAAACAAAAATACAGCTGCAATACAGGTTGCAAAGGTAACACACACATTTAACACAGATAACACATCACACAAACCATGCAGGTAGTATACACAACACAGATGACACAGGTAACACATCAAACAAAACACGGCAGGTGGTATAAACAACACAAATGACACAGGTAGCACATCAATGCAAACGACGCGGTAGTAGTATATACAACACAGGTGCCAGGTAGTATAGAACTAACACATCAAACAAACCATGCAAGTGGTAGAGACAACACAGGTAACACATAAAAACAGGCATGTGGTATAAATAACACAGGTAACACAGGTAACACATCAAACAAATCAGGCAGATGGCATAGACAACACACACGACACATGTAACACATCAAACAAACCAGGCAGGTGCCATATAGAGAACACAGGTACCACAGGTAACAAATCAAACAAACCAGGCAGGTGGCATAAACAACACACACGACACAGGTAACACATCAAGCAAACCATGCAGGTAGTATAGACAACACAGATGACACAGGTAACACATCAAACAAATCAGGCAGGATGGCATAGACAACACACACACGACACAGGTAACACATCAAACAAACCAGGCAGGTGCCATGGAGGAACACAGGTACCACAGGTAACAAATCAAACAAGCCAGGCAGGTGGCATAAACAACACACACGACACAGGTAACACATCAAACAAACCATGCAGGTGGTATAGACAACACAGATGACACAGGTAACACATCAAACAAACCATGCAGGTGGTATAGACAACACAGATGACATAGGTAACACATCAAACAAACAATGCAGGTGGTATAGACAACACAGATGACACAGGTAACACATCAAACAAACCATGCAGGTGGTATAGACAACACAGATGACACAGGTAACACATCAAACAAACCATGCAGGTGGTATAGACAACACAGATGACACAGGTAACACATCAAACAAACCATGCAGGTGGTATAGACAACAATGATAACTCTGATAACACACCCTTTGATCTTTAATCAA